TTTATATTGATTGCCTCATACAACTTAGACCAGCAGTCAGACACTTCATGGATTGGTGTCATGTCTTGGTGTGGGCACCCTCAATCATCTTCCAATCTCATCCAACTTCTCCTAGCGTGGCACGTAGAGATAGGCGGTGGCTTGGCGTGCGCGGTACATATCCAAGCTATTTAGTCTTTGGTAAATGAGAAGACAAGACTATTTATTGTTCACTATCGTTACAATTAAATAGCAATATTAGTCATTTTGTCTCAAGAATATTGAACGAATTACTTTTACTCAGCAGACAGATAGATAGTGATGACCAGATGATAAATGATACAATAAATACTTAAGGAGGGAGCGAGAAGTTATAGGTAACCTTATAAACAGTTATTTAGGAGTACTGTGAAATAAATTAGTGAAGTATATCCTAAGTTAACCACATAATAGTAGCCCGATTAAATTTACGAAGCTAAGCGTCATGTTTTCTCTTATTTGGGCCTTTATTTACAAATATTTATCTACCTCTTTTGTAAGTATAACTCTAGCAGATTACTGTCCTTTAACTTTGGGATATTGAACTGAATAAATAAGTTCGCATGATCTGGCAAATGTGGTAACTAGTGTGACTATCTGAGATAGCTATAGTCTGGCAGACACTTCTATGATTGATGGTGAAATGATGAAAATCTGGGTCGGGGCAGGATTCGTACCAGCGACCTCCGGGTTATCGGGTCGTTGCTCCACCAACCAAGCTACGGGTAAAAGATCTAGTCAGCAACTCCTGGGTCTCATGGCTTAGTTGATGGAGCACCGGACTGGTAACCTCGGAGGCCGGTGATTAGAATCCTGCTGTGGTCCAGATTTTCACTTCACCTTCAATCATCACCCAATAGAAATATAATAACGGTCAGCAAATTTTCTGTTGTAATCATATGATAGAGCCTTCATATTGTAATACAGCGCTATTTCCTGTGTCAATAAATATCGCCTGGACTTGACTCTTCTTTTATCCACCTGAGTCACTCATTAAGTAATAGAAATAATATGAGACGAGATATTGTCAACTTTTTTCTAGAAGTTTTTTTTAATATTTTCAATTAACAACTTATGCGTTTTTACATGTCAGTGAGTACAAAAGGCTACTGTAGCAATTAATGAAATGACTACTCAGGCTTCTTCGTTGTCTAAAAACTCCTCACTTCTAGCCAAAATGATGAAACGTGGTTGGTTTTTTCAGTGGTTACTAAGAGTCAAGCGCTGAAGTAAAAGGAAAAATTGCAGATAATCAAAAAAGTCATTTAGATTAGAAATCGATTAGCATAGTAACTATTCTATCTAAGCTATATGGTGGTATGGAACAATAATTATTGGTGTGAAAGCTATTCATGTGATTTGGAATTAAAAGATACTGATCAGAAAGAAAAAAGATGCTTTTCTTAATTTCTCATCAATACTGTACAGTTACCTATATGATATTAATAAGACACATATTTATGACACAATTACGTAACATTTTGATTTTATTTCTATTCTCACAGCTACCTTAATTCCCTATGCTTTCGTCTTGTTTCAATTGATCTCATTGACCCCAGTGTACGCTAAGATTTCATTTTAGACAGCTGTTGTAAATATTTTCGGTCGTAAGTAGTTGATGACAACCACCAAGACGGAAAGTAACCAATTTCATGTTGTTAAGTCCCGAGTACAGACCGTATTCTACCGATCACTTTTCTTCCACAATATATCCACCAAACTAGAAGTTTCACCATTACATCATAGATGTTAGTTAGTTGAAGGGAATAGGTAAGAAACCTTGGATCTAGGTTTTGTACTTGTTGGCGCTCATCAACAAGGCGTATCTACATCCTTGACGGAATTGATGTCCCGCCATATTATTCCGTTCAAATATTAGTTCTTGCTCGTTTGAAGTTGATGAAAGATGAAATATATGTATGTAGCAGTTTAAAGGTCTTATGAAAAGTGTTACCAAGGATCGAAGGTTAATGATGCTTATTGTCGAAAATATGTTAAACTTAAGATTGCAAGATGAAAATAGGTACAGTGTAAGAGATAGGGAGTCAGTCATACATAACAAAAGAAGTACCCAAATATGAAATTATGAACAGGTTTCAAAAATACTCGTTTTTAACTAAGGTGGGGTTAGGGAACAGGAATATTATACACTCTATAGCTAAATATATTTAAATTAAAACAGTTGGGCTGTAATAAAGGGAATAGAGGTAATTGTTGGTCTAATAGTGACTAGCAGTGGAATCCCAGGGGGCACATTTCATCGTGTATAAAACTCATTAGCTGAATGCATTTTCATCATACAAATTATTTCCACCGGGACTCGAACACAACACTCTTCGCTACCACTAATCTGCTGAGTTATAAGAGTAAATTGGAGAGAAAATTATTCAGTAAAAGTAAAAGAGTTGTGACTGGATGATATGCTTTTGTACAGAGAGTTCATAACTTTTTTTGTGAATATTCAGAGCTTCTGCTGTACAAGGAGAAGGTAATCGGAAACCGTATGATGAGAAATTTAGTAAAGAGTCATGTTTACTAATGATCTTTAGCTTCACAGAGAAGAACTTCTTCTTCAACTATTTGGTTAATCAATTCTTCAGGATCTTTGCCACCATATCATCGCCTTTGAAACCAACCTTCATAAACAAGGTCTTCTTTGGAGCTGTGAGTACTTGTTCCATATTCTGTTTTAATTTCAGGTTCTTCTCAATAAATCTGGATGGGTATCCATTTTGTATGAGAATCTTTCATAGTTTGTCTAATTCATCATCGATACTATCACTCGTGCTGAGAGATCGATTTACAGGAAGTTTACATGGAATGGACAATACTTGAATTTCCATAGCTCGGTGTCTCTATACAGACAAAGGAATCTGATTCATTTTTATCTTTAAGAATCAGAAGAATCTACACGAGTGATAGTACCGATGGTGAATTAGACAAACTACGAAAGATTCTCATACAAAATGGATACCCATCCAGATTTATTGAGAAGAACCTGAAATTAAAACAGAATATGGAACAAGTACTCACAGCTCCAAAGAAGACCTTGTTTATGAAGGTTGGTTTCAGAGGCGATGATATGGTGGCAAAGATCCTGAAGAATCGATTAAGTAAATAGCTGAAGAAGACGTTCTTCTCTGCGAAGCTAAAGATCATCTCCCGTTAGCAATTGGTTCCAGGGAGCATTAAAGACAAGTTACTGCTTTGGGCCACCCCAATGTTTGTCTACAAATTTACTTGCTCTTGTTAAGCTAGTTGTGTAGGCCGCACAAAATGTACATTTTCCAAACGTATCTTTGAGCACTATCCTCCATGGTCATCAAGGAGAGAATGTAAGTCAATTAACCGTTCAATTCTTGATCAATTCTGGACATATAGGTCAATCAGAGTCCTCCTTCTGTGTCATTTATAGAGTCAAATGGAATAGTTCAAAAAGAGTACGCCTTCGATAGTTGTGTACAGCAGAAACACTGAGATTACATTAATTTAAGCCTGATCTCTGGGTGCAGAAGAAGTATATCCAATCTTTCCCAATATTTTGACTTCATTGTAATTAGTTAGTTTACTATTTTCACTTTCTTTATGACCCTTATTTCTTTCTTCACCTTCCTTATATCTATCAAGTGAACACAGCCAACCTTCTGATTTCTCATCTACCAACAATTTTCATCTTGTCAAACTTCTTACGTTTCTAATTATTTCCATTGTATAACAGGTTATTTATTACGCAACTACTTTCCATTCATGCTTTCTTGTTGAATACTTCGCATTGGTTTAATGATGCAATGATACACTATCATTTAATAGTAGATTGTACAGTTGTATAAGCACTGTTTCAACTACAGGTGGCACAGATGAAGACGTCAAAGCCAGGATTAGAAAAGCAAGACAGGCGTTCATTAGCCTGAAACCAGAGTGGAGGTCTACTGCACTCAGCATGTGGAACAAGATCCGGATTTTCAACACCAACTTCAAGTAAGTGTTTCTGTATGACTTAGAGACTTGGCGCGTTACGAAAAGCATTTCCAACGAACTACAGGCATTGATCAACAACTGCCTACGCTGGCTCGTTACTGAAGATCAGATTAGAAGGCCAAAAAGAATAAGCAACAAGGAACTCTGGCTGGCTGGTAACGAACCAACGAAGCAAGAAGCTATCGCTCAACAAATATGCAGAAGGAAGTGGAGATGGATTGGATTGGGCATACACTGAGAAGGCCGACTGGGGACATCACGCGCCAGGCCAGGTCGTCGAGTGGAACCCAGATGGGAAGCGACAAGTTAGGCGTCTGAGCTGAGGGTAACATGGAGGAGGTCATGTGAGGAAGAAATGAGAGCTTGTGGGTAGTCATGGAGCCAGGTTCAAAAGATTTCAGAGAACAGAGTGGAATGGAAACGTGCTACTGAAGCCGTATGTTCCATTAGGAACCCAAGGGACAACTAATAATAATGATAATACAGCTTTATAAAATGATATCGTGGACAAGGAAAATTATCCCTTCTTTTCTATATGACTCGATGGACTCGTTTCGTCGTATGATTTATTTCCTTTCATTGTGATTTTATCTATTGTTCTTGATTATTCACTTAGTTTATTTCCCCTTCCTAGTGATCATTTACAGAAAAAACGGATTAAATGTAACTGATAGGAGTAGAACCATTAAACTTCGACAAAACGGGTGAATGTTTAACCTACTCGCCGGAAGATGTGATGGTTTTGAGTTGGCTTCTTGACCGGGGAGTCCCGTACTAAGCTGAAACGGCTACCCAGTACTCTTAGGTATTCAATGTCTCTCCAACTGATTTCACTCCATGATAAATACCAACTTTTAATTATCTTATCATCATCTTTCCACATCTAAGGGTGTGTAAACAGTTAGCTCTATGTTTTTGATTGAAAGACACCAATTTGATTCCCTTAGAATTGCATAACTCTTTTTCATTTTTTGTTTTTGCCTTTCTCTTGAAAATGTTTTTAGATGTAGACTCGTTTCATGAAAATTATATTTGCTACTCTGTGTTACAAAGTTTTTTGAATGCAAACATTGTTGCTGAATGTTTTTACAAGTAAGTCATAGATTTATTTATTCATTTTAATTGTTTATGATTGTTAGTAGTGTACTCTTTTTAGTGACATTTTCATATGCTAACATAAATCTCAGTCAGTGTTTGTACAGTGTACTGAATTACCCTATCGGGATTTTTCACATTTGTAATAAATAATTATTTTCATTAACTTACTGCTACTCACAAACTGTATTAAGTAGTTATAGTACATAATGTTGTTGCTTCTATTATCTCATCGTTGACTGAACCGAATTGTTCGGTCTCTATTGATTTCTAAGCTCCTGTGCAGATGGCTGGATATTACCTATGTCTGAGTTATATATTAATGATGGATAGTGGCTAGCAGTGGAATACAGGACGTGCGTTTCGTCGTATTTGAGACTCGTCAGTCGGATGTATTTGCTTTTCAGTGAGTGATGTCCCCACCGGGATTTGGACTCGGGACCGATCGCTTCAAACGCCAGAGCGTTATCCACTAGACCACTAAGCCACGATAGCCACTTCTTTTGCGACGAGTATAGCTTTAATGTTGTTGCCTGTATCATTATTATATACAGTTAAAACAACGGCAATATGGAGGCATCCGCGCACCCGTCGCACAAGACTTGGCTATCGTATTGATGGTCTAGTGGATAACGCTCTGGTGTTAGAAGCGATCGGTCCCGAGTTCGAGTCCTAGAGGGAATAACATCACTCACTAGGAGACAGGTACATTCAGCTGACGAACCTTTAATAGGACGAAACGCTAGTCAATATCCATCATTAACAGTTGTAGTACAGTTAGTGAAATATATTTTCACTAATGTCACAAAACTTTGTTGATTGATACTTGTAACTTCCCGTTTTTATACTGGATCGAATCGGTTGACCTCTGCTCGTATATGGGTTCCTATGAGATTGACTCGATGTTGCTCATTACGTTGTAATTTACTTGGTTTATGGCCAGCGAAGGAAACTAAGATGTGCATTTTGTCCTGTTCAGGAATCATCAGTCAAACGCACCTGCACACCAGCTGCTCTTTATGCCTCAGTGACCTAGCGAATAAAGCTTAGGTGTTTGAAGTGAGAAGTTCTAGGTTCGAGTCTCTGTAGGAACACTATCACTCACTGGAGTACAGTTACACCCAACTCATGAGTTCCAAATAGGACAAAACTTGCCTCCTGGATTTCAGTGCTAATCACCACCAAATAAAGTTATGATGTTTTGTTCTCAGAAAACACTAGTCAAACGGGAATGTAGCTCAACAATGTTGGATAGGTGTGTGTGTGTGTGTGTATGTGTGTCTAGTATTTATCCGGGAATCACACTGATGGCATGGTTAATGTAGGCTTAGATTTGATGATTAATTGTTAATTACGGTCTAAATCAACGTGTCTACAGTGCCTAGTCAACAGGAAAATGAAGCTACTCAATCGTATGATAGTGCGAGTGTTTCTGTATGTGTGCATGTATATGTGTGAGGAGGTGACTGTGCGATAGTAATGAATATTGTTTTGAGAAAATGAGTTCTGAACATAAAATGGAGGATCGTTTGATGCATAGACAGTTAAGTTGGGGTAAGCCTACTTTAAAGATGAGATGATAGCTGATAATGATCTGCATAGTACAATGATAACAATAAGGATTTATTGCGTAAAAATAGTATCCGTTTGACTATGTGAGATAACTATGATTTGGGTGGTGATTGAAGGTGAAATAAAAAAACTTGGGTTCTGACAGGATTCGATACAGTGAATGAAGTTATTGTATTATTAAAACGATTATTAATCATCAATTGTCTTATTAGTGAGTTTGAGTGGGCAGAAACGTTGAATGTCCTTTCTCGAATAGCTTGGTCAATCTTCATGATACTGATTCTTATGCATAAAAGTAGTCGTGTATCTCTGAAAATATTACTAGAAACTTCATGTATACATTAGGAAACTTCGTCATTTAGAATGGTGCTTACTGTCCACTGCAGGAGACAAATAGATAGTGGTTAGCAGTGGAATCCAACACGCGTATTTTGTCTTATTTAGGACTCTTCAGCTGGATGTATCTGTCTTCCAGTGGATGATCTTGTTCCCACTAAGACTCAAACCCAGGACGAATCGCTCTGAATGCCAGAGCGTTATCCGCTAGGCCACCGAGTCAGGATAACCAATCCTTGTAAGACGGGCGTAATAGAGTCTTTTATGGCCTAGAAGATAACGCTCTGGCATTTAAAGCGACTGCTGCTGGATTAAAGTCTTAGTAGAAACAACATCACTCAATGAGAGGTGGGTATATCCAGCTGACAAAACAGGCCTCGTGGATTCCACTGCTATCTCCTATCCATCAATAGTAATAAATATGAAAATACCGGTAATACTGAGGCATCCATATAGGAGCCCATACATGCCAACAGTGACTGATCAATTCGGTTCAATCAACGACAAAAGCTTACAATCTGTAATAATAAAGAATATGAGAATGGTTGTCTCATCCTTTCCACTTTGTTTTTCTAAGTACACTCCTCATTATAAACTTGTCTACTGTTCTGGTAAGAACAGCATCTAAAAATTTAATAACTGCATAAATTTTACTGAAGACATTCTAAAGCTATTGTTCATTGAATTTGTTTTATCATGAAAGAGAAACATGTCGTTTACAAATCAGCAATACTATTCATATCTACTGGAAATATCTCACGATGAATAATTGTCAAATTTAACTAAGGAAACATTGACAGCTAAGTTTAAGTCGTGAGTTGATAACAGTTGTATCTAGTTGTTAGTAGCTCGGGTAGCGAAGGCTCGTTTGGCATTTACTAACTTGCATCATCTCTAACGCTAACTGGAGAAATATCCGATTTCCTATTAACGGATGAGTATACTACACTTCAGTTCGTTCTCTCTTGTTATACAACTGTGAGATATGGTTGTTGAATGTAGAAGATACAGAGAGATTACAGGTTTCTGACCACAGGTACCTTCATAGCGTTGATCGCGTAAGGTGTACTCACTATGTTAGTAATGTCTAGGTTAGACTAAAGGTACAAGATAAGGCTGGCAAGTTGATTGGTAAATTTGTGAATCTTCACAGGATGATGTGTACAATATCAACCAAAGTTAGTTTAGGTTGGAAGAAGGCTGAGGTTGGCTAAACCAAGATATGGTGTTAATTGATGAAATCTCTGTCTGTTGGTCGCAGCCATATAGGGAGGTGTAGACTACCTGATTGGGGTCCGGGAGACCATAGGAATCATTGGATGAGTGCTCTTGGTAACATAGCTGATGTATAGATGTATTCACTCTTTGATGTCTTCTAAAGCTTGAATATTCTCCCTAACCCTTATCTTCAGACTGTTTATTCTTTCATGCAACTTTATCTACTCTTTATCACTCTTATTCTATCCACTTGTTCTTTGTATACTACTGTGAATTGTGGCAACTTTAGCTGATACACTTGTGTACAACGCTGTACTTTGGTTTTTTCTGTGTCTATCTATCTATCTGTCAGTCCGTCGATCTGTCTGTCTGTCTGCCCGTCTGTCTGGCTATCTGTCTATCTATCAGTTTTGAAGTCTATTTTGCCTAACTGTTATCTAGATGAGGAATATGAAACTGTTCACACCTTTTTTTCGAATTAACTTCTTGTCTACCTAGATCGTCGTATATTTTTGATGTTTTAATGTCACTTGTAATATCGTGATGAGAAGGATAGACGACACGTTTTTCTAATAATACACTTGATTATTGCACTATTGTACTGTGAGATTCAACTTTTTTATTATCACATACGCTAAAGATTTATATTTGTCTAAATGTAAATATTTCAAGTTGTTATTCATCGTAGACTGACATCAGCTGAAGGGACATTGGAAACCTGAGAGCACTGGATAGCTGTTTCATCCGACTAGTATGGGACTCAGCAGTGCGCACCCACGACCCCGCCAGGGCTCGAACCCGCGACCTTCAGGTTTAGCGGCCAGCGCGTTGCCATTAAGCCACTGGGTCAGAATCCAATGCTCGCGGGTTCGATCCCTGGCGGGGTCGTGGGTGCGCACTGCTGGGGAGCCCCATACCAGGACGAAACAGCTGTCGAGTGATCCCAGGTTCCCAATGTTCCTCCAGCTGATGTCAGTCTACGATGAATAACAACTTGAAATATTTCCAAATCTCCACAACCTCAAAATTAAACGCAAGTAGACAAATTTCTGCATACAGTGATAGTAATCGAATAATTTCTTAGGATTCAGAAATGCTAAAAGCCTGATAATGTTGATTGTCAGTCTTTGAAGGGTTGACACATTTGAAATCTTGACTAGTTGCTGGGGAGCAACCGATTACATGTTGCTTATTCCTATATGCTAATCCGAATTCTTTCGATCATTATGTAATATGACCATCAACTAAAAGGCTTACCATCTCAGTGCACTTTTGATGGATGTTAGTTGGTTGGAGGTAACTGACAAGAAGTTCTGTTTGACCTAATTTTCATGCTTGTTGTCACTCATGAGTAAGGTGTATCTCCGACCTCGGCGGAACTGATGTCTTGCCTGAGATTCAAATTCGCGTCACCTAGTGTTGTAGTTGGAGACGTTTTTACTGAGCTATTCGGTTTAGTTTTGTTTTTGCTTATTATCATCGAAATTTGGTCGTTTGTCTGTGATCTCATCATCATCAGTCATCAAGATCAACGTAGGATCAGGCATTATTGCGTGACGGTCCAAGTTGCCACACCTCTTATGAACATATCAAGTAACAAAGGAATAAAATGGAAGATGAAGAAAGAAAGAAAACTCGTTCGAAGGAAGTAGAGGTGAAAAGTAGTCAACGAGAGGAAGGAAGAATGAGGAGATGATGAGACTAAGTATAGCGATCAAGGCGAGGATAATATGTGTATACATCTGTGCCACTAACATCCATACTGAGTTATATTGTCTAGAGTATCCAACAACTGGTTTCCCTTGTCATGTAGACCCCAACTGGCTAGTCTGCATCGCCCCACATGGCTCAAACCAACAGTCAAGGACTTC